TGATAATGATGTTGATGATGATGATGATGATAAGGATGATAATGATGTTGATGATGATGATGGTAAGGATGATAATGATGTTGATGATGGTGGTGATGATGATAAGGATGATGATGATGATGTTGTTGATGATGATAAGGATGATAACGATGTTGATGATGATAATGATGTTGATAATGGTAGTGATGATGATAAAAATGATAATGATGTTGATGATGGTGGTGATGATGATAAAGATGATGATGATGGTGATAAAGCTGGGAAATGCAATTAGAAATATCAAATAATGGTAGATTCATTAAAATTTGATGATGATAAAATTATGAAAAATATGTAAAAATGGATGATGATAATAATAATAATAATAACGTTAACGATAATGAAGTTAATGATAGTAATCATTTAAACTGATGATGATGACGATGACGATGATGACAAAAAGAATGATAATACCCACGATGTTCAGTATCTTAAACATTAATGATGACACCTATCATTTATCTATTATCTTTGTTACCAACCAAAGACTGTAAATAACGTTTAACGTAGTTCAAATTTCGTCATTATGTGTTTGGTATATATATATATATATATATATATATATATAAAGAGTTAATAGATAGTTAATAATTGATGACAATAAACAGTTTTATCATAATTTTATTATCATCGTTATCGCCGGAGATAATCCAATGGATGTCATTTTTAGAATTATTATTATTATTATTATTATTATTGCTGTTTTTTATTATTATTCTTATTATTCATTTGAAATTATTATACACATATTAAAACTGCTTTTCGACGTTTAATTGCATTTCATCTGAGAGGCATAATTACTTATAATAATTATTTATTATTATTATTATTATTATTTATTATAATTATTATATTTTATAGAAATTATTATTTTTTAAAATACGAATAAATAGATATTCTTATATTTAAATAAAATAAAATAAAATATATCTCTCGCGTGTTTTATATCTACGTATTATACTTAAATGTTCCCAGATTTTGCGTAGGGTTTAAAACGAATAAAAACAATAATCATTATTTATTATTATTATTTTATTATTATGTGTAATTTTCAGTTGAGAACATTCTTCTGGTAGTCATTCATTGTGTGTATGTCCAATGGTATCATTATTCTTATCATTTTATATATATATATATATATATATATATATATATACACGTGCAATCGTTAATTTTTTCATATATTCATGCATTCGTTCATTCAAAACCCCAGTGATTGAATGAATTATGCTAATTAAGAAAATAGTTAATGAATGAATGGATGGGCATGAAAGAATGGATGGATGAATGAAAGGATGGACGGATGGTTGGATGAATGAATGGAGGAATGGATGGATGGATGGATGAATTGGTTTTATTATAGATCTGTTATATACATTTATTAAACCTTTTGTGTTAGGTTGTATTTTATATGAATTATATTTTTAATATGTGTATTTGTGCGTGTGTGTGTTTATGTATACACAATACATATATTATATCTATTATATTTATATATATATATTTGTGTGTGTGTGTGTGCGTGCATTTATATTATATATAAGTATAATTATTGTATTGAGGAATGGTTGTATTTATTAATATTATTTATAAAATGCTATTGATTAAACATATTAGTCAATTTTTTATAATAAAAGAAATAATAATAATGTTATTATCACTAATTATGGTTTTAATTAAATTGCAGTAATAGCACTTTGCTATCTAAGATGCATGCGTTATATAGAAACAATAAATAATGACACATATTTCATTTGTTATTCAGGTATATTTATAATGTGTTTTAATCAAGGGATGGATCGATCGATTGATCGTTTGATAGATTGATTGATCAATTGATTGATGATTGATTGATTGACTGATTGATTGAGTGATAAATTGATTGATGATTGATTGATTGATTGATTGACTATGAGTGAATGACTACGAAGCTTTCTGAGACTGCAATTTAAATATTTTTTTAATGTTTTTTTTTCTACAAATTCTAACGCGATTAAACTTCTCAACAAAACAACAACAACTAAAATAACATTAATTATTATTATTTTAATAGTAATAATAATGATAATTATTATTATTATAAATTACTTTTTATTTAGCCATTGTTAGATTTGAGAGGCTTTATAAAGAAAATTTTTCGTGTCAGATACCAAACTCTGATACCATTTATAATAATAATATCAGTTTATCAAGTTATTATATTATGATTATTTTGTTATTAATTTTATTATATTATTATTATTTGAAAATAACAGATTAATCTTTTCTTCCTACCTGTCAGTCTGTTATTGCTTTGTCCATTCTATTCTTCTATCGCACATACATTATATATCATACATACACGTGTGTGAGTGTATATCATACATAATTATATGGGTGTGTGTATACATATATATATATATATATATATATATATATATATATATATATATATATATATATATATATATATATATATATATATAGGGCCAGTAAGAACCATTTTAGATCCGGAATAGAT